TATTCTATTCTATTCTATTCTATTCTATTCTATTCTATTCTATTCTACTCTACTCTACTCTACTCTATTCTCTATTCTATTCCTTTAAAAAAACAGCAATTTTGCCACTAAGCCAATTACAATCATTTCACCAATGACAATTTGCATAGGTCTATTTACCATTGATCCTGGGTAAAATGTGTGTGACTGGGAAGAATCAATACCAACTTATTAAAATAAAAAAATTAATAAACTCAATGGCACAAAATTGACTAAACATAACTGAAGAACACCAAGAATACTGCAGGCACCTGCCAAGTCAATCCCCAACTTGAGACCTCTCCAACAGAAACAGCCAGGCTTTATTTTTAAAGCAACCAAAGTTATACAGGTAGTCCTCAACTTATGACCACAATGGAGCCCCAAATTTGTGTTACTATGTGAGACATTTGTTAAGTGAAGTTTGCCCAATTCTATGGCCTTTTAGTGCCACAGTTGTTAAGTGAATCCCTGTGGTTGCTAAACTAGTAACATGGTTGTTAAGTGAATCTGGCTTTACCGTTGACTTGCAAAAGGCAATCCCAGGACCCTGGGACACTGCAACGGTCATAAATGTGAGTCAGTTCCCAAGCATTTGAATTTTGTGACCACGGGGATGCTGCAACAACTGTAAAGTGTGAACTATGGTGATAAGTTATTTTTTTCTCAGTGCTGTTTGAGCGGTCACTAAATGCACTGCTCTAAGTCAAGGATTACCTGTACGTTCTTTTAGTCAAGGTTCAAAACAAGGATTCTCCCACAACTCTTGTGTGTTTGTCAACCAAAAAGGCACTTTTCCCACCCTACGCAATAAAAAAAAATTGTGTGCTTTGGCGGACTGCACATATTCACAGGTGCAACGCCGATACAAAAACACCATGGTTAAAAAAGGGGACGTTTGGTGCAAGAAATAAAACAGGTGAGAGGCAAGGAGACATTGTATAGAGCAGGGGTTGCTCTGACCAAGGCTTCCCGAGACCGTAATTAAGCACACTCTTAGTCCAAACAGTCTTGTTTTATTTCAACGCTGGGAATTATGTTCATTCCCAGTCTGTAATGAATCCCACACAGTTCCTCGAGATAAGCACCCACCTTTCTCTCCTTTGAATTGCTGCCAACAACTAAAGTGCCAAATTAACTGGGAAAAAGCCAACCGAAGTACAAAATCCACACAGAGCTTCAATGTTTAATCCGAACAGAACAAACGACTTTGCTTCCTGCAAAGGTTTTCCTACCTTTGCACTTCCTTTATACCTTAGGGGAGGGGCAATCACCTCCAAGCCTTATTCCAGAGTTGCCCTTTTGTCTGCTCTTGTCTTCTAGCAGCTCTGCGTGCACGCATACTGGGAACAGGCTCCCCTTCTTCCTCTGCTTCGCTGCTGTCCGATTCTGGAGGCTCTGGGGTCAGCACATAATTCCCAGGTGGCCCCGGCCCCATCTCTGTATCGAATGCAGGACCGATCTTTCGAGTCCTCCCCAAACTCCTGGACTGGTCCCTGTTCTTCCCCACTGTCTGATTCTGTTGCCATCTCCGCAGGCTGCCGGCAAACCACAACAGGGGTCTTCAAACTAGACAGCTTGAAGACTTGTGGATTTCAACTCCCAGAATTCCTCCTCCAGTTAGGTTAGCTCAGGAATTCTGGGAGTTGCAGTCCACAAGTCTTACACTTGCCAAGTTTGAAGACCCATTGGTATAAGGACACAGGTTCATTTTTTTAAAAAAGTGCAATGGACAACAAACTCACCTGGACATCATACAGGGCCACAATGTTTTCATGTTGCAGTTCCTGGAAAATAAAAGACAAATAGTTCAGAGGAAGAATGTGACCAAAGCCAGTCCTGTACAGGCAGTCCTCAACTAACGACCCCAATGGAGCCCAACACTTCTGTGGTTAAGCGATACATTTAACGGAGTTTTGCCCCATTTTACAACCTTTCTTGCCACGGTTAAGTGAATCCCTGTGGTTGATAAGTCAGTTAACACGGTTGTTAAGTGAATCTGGCTTCCCTGTTGACTCTGCTTGTCAGAAGTTCTCAAAAGAGGACCATCGCGTGACCCTGGGAGGACACTGCGGCCGTTGTAAGTATGAAATAGTTGCCAAGCGTCTGAATTTGGCTCACGGGACTATGGAGATGCTACAAAGTCGTAAATGGTGAAAAACGGTCCCAAGTCACTTTTTTTCAGTGCCGTTGTGACTTCGAAGGGTCACTAAATGAACTGTTGTAAACTGTATATGCTGCCATCGAAATTATTTCCACAGTTTCTTCCCGAGAATCAAATAGGTGAGGGCCACCGAAGTCGTAATCTCTAGGCTCAACTGCACCCAGTGGTGCCACTACTAAGAAAGTCCTGTTCTTAGTTTCCATGAGGGAAAAAAAACAATGAGCTCAGGTGACCCTAGAATGTGAGGAAATTCAGCTGGGACACCTTCCACCTTGGAACTAAGAGGTTCTCTCTCTCTCAATACGTGAATAGTTATAAAATAACAGAGTTGGAAGGGATTTGGGAGGTCTTCTAGTCCAACCCCCCTGCTAAGGCAGGATGTCAACTACAAAGATACTCCTTTGGTCTTTTTAGCTGCTAGCAAAAAAGGAGTGGGGAAAAAACAGTGCATTCCTCAAGTGCCTAGATCAGGGGTCTCCAACCTTGGCCACTTTAAGCCTGGAGGACTTCAACTCCCAGAATTCCTCAGCCAGCTTTGCTTCCTCCCACTCCTCCTCCTCTCCCCACCCCTTCTGACACAGATAATGTTCCCTAGTTGGGTCATGAAACGTCTGCAAGGAAATAACCAAGCTCAGAGAGCATCAAGGACCCCAACCCGTCTGGTGCCTCCTCCTCCTCCTCTTTCTTCTCCTCCTCCCCCCTCCTTCTAGCAAACCTCCCTCCCCTTCTAGCACTGATGATGTTGCCTAGTTGGGTCATGAAACGTCTGCAAGAAAACAACCAAGCTCAGAGAGCACCAAGGATGCCACAGTTCTCGTCCTCCTCCTCAAACCTCCCTCCATTCCAGCCCTGATGACATTACCCAGCTGGGTCACGAAACGTCTGCAAGAAAACCACCCAGCTCAGACAGCACCAAGGACCCCACAGTTCCAACCCTGAGCTACAAACATTCCCTTTTATTGGTATTGTTTCCTGTTTGCTCGGTGGCCTAGTCCAGGGGTCTCCAACCTTAGCTTTGCTGGCTGGGGAATTCTGGGAGTTGAAGTCCTCCAGGCTTAAAGTGGCCAAGGTTGGAGACCCCTGGCCTAGATAATCGCCATGGCAGCCCGAAGTTACTGGAGTGCAAGAATATTACTGGGGAGCATGATAGATGACTCTTGACTATGGATGTGTCCCATTGGAGAATATACATCCAGGAAGAGGGGGGAAGATTAGGGTCAAGGGGGAAATGGGTGATGTATTTTAGTATCGGCTGCATCCAGCTAATGCCAACATGGTCACTTCTAATCGATTTTCTCTGAGAGAAGCGGCTGGAGACATGATTTGAATGGGGGTGGATTTGTTGGAGTCCTGATTGATACAGGAGACCCTTTACCTGTGATGGTGAACCTATGGCACGCCTGCCAGAGGTGGCATGCAAAGCCCTTTCAGTGGGCACGTGCACCATCGCCAGCTCCTCTTTCTGGCGCACCAGCTAGCTGGTGTTCGCAGGCGGCAGAGTGCCGGAAAATGGCCCCCAAAAACGGCTGGAAAACAGGCTGTTTTGCAGGCCATTTCCAGGCTGTTTTTCCAGCCAAAAACTGCCTGAAAATGGGCAAAAAAACCCAGGCTGTTTTCTGGGGTGTTTTCGGTGCAAAAACTGGATTCAAACCAGCCAGAAAAATATGCAAAAAACAGGCAAACGTGAACCGGTCAGCTGGTTTTCGGCAAGCACGCATACATGCACGCTCAGGCATGCGCATTTCGGTTTGGGCACTGGGTACCTAAAAGATTCACCAACACTGCCCTACACCATTTCAGACCAAGGGTTATCCAATCTCTTCTTAAAAACACCTCCAGCGTTGAAGAACCCACAGCTTCTGGTGGCCAGTTGTTCCACTGGTTCTGACTGCCAGGAAATTTCTCCTTCCTTCCAGATTGCTTCTCTCCTTGATGAGTTTCCATCCGTTGCTTCTGGAATGAGCCAAGAAGGGACGGTGGCCAAGTTTTCAATCCACCCAGCCTTCGGATGTCTTTGAAACCAGTCCCGTGTTCACTAAACCAGGAATTCTGGCTTCCCAGAAACGGGTTTCTGGGAAAAGTTGACTCACCGAAGCCAAGGGCTCGAGGCTATGTCCAAGTAAGACACTTTTACAGATGTACAGTTAGTTTCCTTCCTTGGTTTTTGTAAACAGAGAGAGCAGAAATTTTAGGTCGCCGACGCCCTTTGTATCTGTTTGGAGAGGTGGTTATAGCTTCAGGTTTTATAATCCTGGCAAAGGCGGCTCTGAAATAAGGGACCTTTTTCTTACTTCAGGATGATTATTCAAAGTAACCGGAGGAGAGGGGAAAGAACTGAAGACTGATCAATGGAAGAATCCAAATTAAAGCCTCCATCCTTGGCTTGAAGTATAATTTGGATAATTTGCTATTTCTGACGCCTGCCTGAACACTAGGGACTAGAATCTCAGCCAACATGGCATCAAAATCCCAGCCAGGAAACCATTTGGGTCCAAAGTTTTGAATTTAGTGCAGAGGTCTGGTCCCTATCCACAAAACCTGTTTTCCCCAATCACCTCTAGAGCTAACAGATCTCAAGAATCTATTACAGATAGTCCTCGACTTACAACAGTTCATTTAGTGACTGTCGTTCAAAGTTACGTCACTGAAAGTAATTTTATGACTGTTTTTCACACGTACAACCGTTGCAGCCTCCCTGTGGTCGCATGAGCAAAATCCAGGCGCTGGATTGACTCATATTTATGGCAACTGACTCATATTTATGACTGTGATGTCTCAGGGCGTGGTACAAAAGCAACAAAGTCACAAAAGTAGGTAGAAGTCCCTTTAATTCCTCCAACTTGGCCCCCAATGTCGAGTTATCATCAGTTGGAGAAAAAAACTCTTCCCAAGAACAGTTTTTAAATGGAAGAAATTCCGTCCGAACCCAAAGTACATCTAAATTATAAATAAAAAGCAACACAAACCAGGCTGCAGAAATTAACGAGACAGGGCAGGATAAGGGATTGCAGACTTCAAAAGGTAACGAAACACACACAGCGGGGAGGACGCCAGAACCCAGATAGGACTTGACAAACAAAGATAATGCAGGCTTTGCTTCCGGCATGGTTTTGTGCGCAGACACCTTCTTTAAACTGTTTCCCCAGCTGCAGCTAATGAAGGGAATCAGGGCCTTTTTCTCCCCTGTAGCCCACGTTGCTCCCTTCTCCGTTCCTTCCTGTGTGCCCTAGGATGCGGAGGGGGTGGGCCTGGGTCTTCCTCTGAATGCCCAGCTGGACTGTGTCCTTCCCCAGTTTCTTCCACAGCCACCGGAGCCACATTCCCACTCCCTGTCAGCTGTTCCACTTCTCACTCGGAATCAAACTCCAACGGGGGCATGACAATGACAGTTGAAGTGTCCCAGGGTTGAGTGATGACTTTTTGTGACTTTCTCACAAGCAAATTCAACAGGGAAGCCAGATTCACTTAACAACCACGTGGTTAACTTAACAACTGCAGCGATTCACTTAACCACGGTGGCAAGAAAAGTTGGGGACAAAGCTCATAAATACCTCACTTAGCAACAGAAGGGCTCAATTGAGGTCATAAATTGAGGACTACTTGTATCTTAAGCAGTTGCTAGATACAACTGCTTTACTTTGCTCCTTCTCAAAAGATTTTCTCCAAATTTACTTATACTTTTATTTCATTGTTGTTAAAATTAATTTTAACGCTTTCAATGCTTTTACATCTACGCTTTTATGTTGTTGTGAGTTGTCCAGAGTCACTTAAAACAGTGAGACAGGCAACATATAATACAAACAAATGGTTGATTTCGCACAGCAGGCAGAAGGGCCACTGTCCCTGCCTGACAACACTTCCACATTTGACTGACAGTTGGGAATCAAGTGACTGATTGTGGCTTTCAATAAGCTTGACACTGCAAAAGATCTGAATGTCAAACAGGATGTCCACATGTTCGCTGTAGCATAAAATACTTATTTTTTAACAATTTTTCGCTTATGCTCAGACCACAACTTTCTACAAGAAAAGAAGAAGAAGAGAGAAGCGCTTGTTTGCAGAGCAAGCGTGGATGGAATTATCTATAGATATAAAAGCGAAATAACACTCAGGCATCATCACAAAATCTCCAGAACCGTAAAGCCTACAAACTTGAAATTGGGCACGTATGTTCCTCTTGGCTTCTAGGTGCTCACTAAGAAAGGATTTTTCGAAATGACCCTCAGAGCTATTATATTATTATTTTTAACACACTCTGATGCTAAGGAGTTCTACCTCCCCACTTGAAAACTCTTCCAAATGCAAAACACAAGCAGAGGAGTTTCAGTTTCACAGCACCAAGCAGCTTTAGTACAGAACAGTTGAGCTAAGCCACGCCCAGGCTCCTTGCTCACACAGCAAATACATCTTGTTTCAGTTTCCAAACAGCCCTCAACTCTGAATACCGATCGATGCTGGTAGGCAAGAGGCACAATTCTCCCCCCACCCTTATTTTCCGACGTTTAGAAAGGATTGCTTCTTTGCTGGGCCTCTGTAATTCACCCCAATGAGGCTCTTTGTACCGGAGAAGAGATATTATTTACTTGGCTGAAGTCTTACGCATCTCATGCATGGCCTCCTTCGGTACCTGGGAAGTGAAAAACTGGGGGGTGCTCAGTAGATGTGGGAGCTTGTAAGCTGAATAAAAAGTTCAGGCGGCCTGTATTCCCAGATCAGGGATGGGAAAACTGTGGCCCCTTTAAGACGTGTGGACTTCAACTCCCAGAGGGCCTGCATGGCTGGCTCAGGAATTCTGGGAGTTGAAGTCCACAAGTCTTAAAAAAGCCATGGTTCCCACCCCTATACAGAGAAGGAAATCAACTAATAATTAGCTAGCTCGGTCTTCCTCACGCTTGCCCTCCCCAGCTTGGGCTTCAATTCTCATGTTCTCCAGCCTGGGTGGGAGTCAAGGCCCCATCACACAGGGAGAAAATCACATTGGGCAAGTTTGAGGGACTTCAGCAAAGGTTCGGTGCAGCCCAAGAGGCACCTGACAGGTGCAGGCTTGAAGGAACAGCTCCTACATGCCAAGTTTGAAAAGGAAGAGTGTGAGTTCTAGTTCTGTCTTAGGTAAAGAAAGCTGGGTGGGCGACTTTGGGCCAATCACCAGGAGACGGTGAGTTCTAGTTCCGCCTTGGGCATGAAAGCCGGCTGGGTGACTTTGGGCCAATCACCAGGAGATGGTGAGTTCTAGTCCTGCCTTAGGCATGAAAGCCAGCTGGGTGACCATGTGCCAATCACCAGGAGACGGTGAGTTCTAGTCCTGCCTTAGGTATGAAACCCACCTGGGTGACTTTGGGCCAATCACCAGGAGACGGTGAGTTCTAGTCCTGCCTTAGGTATGAAACCCACCTGGGTGACCATGTGCCAATCACCAGGAGACGGTGAGTTCTAGTCCTGCCTTAGGTATGAAACCCACCTGGGTGACCATGTGCCAATCACCAGGAGACAGTGAGTTCTAGTCCTGCCTTAGGCATGAAACCCACCTGGGTGACCATGTGCCAATCACCAGGAGACGGTGAGTTCTAGTCCTGCCTTAGGCATGAAACTCAACTGGGTGACTCTGTGCCAATCCCCAGATTAACAACAATGGTAAGAAAGATTGTAAAATGGGGAAAAACTCACTCAACATCTGTTGTGTTTTTTTTGGTATCTGGTTTGGGTCACCCAATAAGGATGTTGAGATTTGCAGAGAAAAGCAGCGAAGATTATAAGGGGACAAAATGTGTGAAGGACAGTCGCAGGAATTGGGTAGGTCTAGTTTAGAGTAAAGAAGAACTGGGGGTGGGGGTTATGATAGCATCTTCCAATATCTGTGGGGCTGCCCCTAAGGAGGAGGAGTCAAGCTATTTTCCCAAAGCCCCTGAGCACAAGAAGGACAAGAAGCGACGGATGGAAACTGATCAAGGGGAGATCCAACCTAGAACTCAGGAAAAAAAATTCCTGACAGTGAGAACAATTAAACAGCGGAACCGCTTGCCGCCAGAAGTTGTGCGTGCTGCATCTCCGAAGGTTTTTAAGAACGGATTGGACAGTCACTTGTCAGAAATGGTCTAGGCTGGTCTGCTGCTTGGACAGAGGGTTGGACTAGAAGACCCCTTAAGGTCCCTTTCAACTCTTAAAATATCAACATCTTCTCTCTATCCTTGTGCTCAATGGACACTCGGAAAAACTGAAGGGATTCCTACCATCACAATCCTTATTCCAATCTAACTAGAAATGGGGTTTAGCGTCAATTGGTAGATCTCCGCCGAGAGTAGTTCCATTCTCCTGAACCCTGAATTATTATTTTTTTACGCCGCAGAGACAGGCGACTAAACCTGGAATTTCCCCTGTATACAAAGTGCATGTTTTACCACCGAACTGTACACGTTCCTATCTTGTCTGTGGCATTTGCAAGGATTCTGCCTCCTCCAGAATAAATTAAAAGCACTATGCGCAGGCCAGTGTGGTTTGCGCCGTCAGCCTCAACCCGGCTGCCAGATCGCCGCCTTCGGCTAAGCGTTTCTAATTCAGAAATTTTTCAACTCGTAACTCAGGTTGTTCCTTTGGCCTTGCTTAGCGTTTTGTTTGGAGCGAAAAGAAAAAAGGCTGGGGCAACAGAATTATGGACGTTCCGCACCATTCCAGAAGTCCTCATCCATCTCTTCCAAACCAAACTGACAAGTTTTTTTAATTTTAGTTTACTTTGTCGTCACTGCTCCTCGTACAAAGAAATCGAACATCTTCAGCACACATCACGACCATGAAAATAAACACCAACACACATCCTTCACGTTCTATATAATTGAACGGAAAACCCCTGATACTGCATTCATATTGCACTAGACAGGAGAATCCAATGGGATTACTACCCTGGGATAGAAGCTGTTTTTCAGCCTATTTGTCCTTTTTTTTTTTATTGTCCTGTACCGGCTTCCAGATGGTAATAATTCAAATAAAAAGGGTGCCCAGGATGAGATGGATCTTTGAGAATGTTTTTGAACTTTCTTGAGGCAGCGGGAGCTATAAAGCTCTTCCAAAGAAGGGAGAGGGCAACCCAGGATCCTCTGGGCAAAGACGTTAACTCTCTGGAGCAGGGGTCTCCAACCATGGCAACTTTAAGCCTGGCAGACTTCAACTCCCAGAATTCCCTAGCCAGCTTGCTAGCTGGGAACTTCTGGGAATTGAAGTCCGCCAGGCTTAAAGTTGCCACGGTTGGAGACCCTCGCTCTGGAGTGCCGTCCTATCTGCCACTGTGCAACTGGCAAACCATACAGAGGTGCAATAAGTTAAGAATAAAGGAAAAGGAAAAATCAAAACAAAAGGCCCTCAAATGAAGGTTGTCTATGCATGCAGGCAGTCCTCAACTTACAACCACAACCGAGCTGAAAATGCGTCGCTAAGCAAAGTATTCGTTCAGGGAATTTCGCCCCATTTAACGAGCTTCCTTGGCATAGTTGTTAAGTGAATCACTGCAATGGTTAAGTTAGTGACACGGCTGTTAAGTGAATCCGGCTCCCCCTTGGACTTTGCTTGTCAGGAGGCCGCAAAAGGGGATCAAGTGACCCCCCTGGGACACTGCGACCGTCATAAATACGAGCCACTTGCCAAGCGTCTGAATTTTGATCGCAGGAATGTAAGTATGAGGACCGGTCAATAAGTCACTTTTTGCAAAGCTGTTGTAACTTCAAACTGATCGCTAAATGAACTATTGTAAGTCGAGGACCACCTGCACATAGCCAATATAAATGTCACTATGCCTCCTGAAATCTAAAACTAGGAAAAAAAGACACTATACGAGGGGAGGCTCAGCCAACCTCATTGTACACATGTTGTACTCTGACAATAAAGGTAATAATAATAATAATAATAATAATAATAATAATAATAATTCCCCCACCCCACCCAGGCTAGGCAAGCTCTGCTAGGTATCCACACAATGCTAAGTTGCTGCAATTGTCGGAGCTCCCCATGTTGTGAGCTACACAACAGCGCAAGGAGGCTTTGGGGGTTTGGAAGAAAAGAGACAGCGTACAATACCTTCAAAATTTTTATCTCCTTCCCAAGGAGGAGCTGCGACTTCGACAAGTTCTTTTTGTTAATGCTCTTTATGGCCACTTCCCAGTCCGTTTTCTGAAAAGAGAAGGGAGAAAAGCGTTTTAAGTACAAGCGAGTTTTCTTATTTTTGTAAACAGTCACCAGAAGCGAGTCGATCTGGCCTTTTTTTCTTTTCCTTCTTCTTTCCTTTAAAAGCTTTACGATGATTTAAGATTCCTGGAAGACGTGCTGAGTCCTCTTTTCCTCCACCTGGTCTACAGCTTTCTCAACTCCTAATTACACTGCCAACACCCCCCCCTCAGGAGAGTTTAAAGTGGCCAGGGAATCCTGGGAGTTGAAGTCCACAGGTCTTCAAGATGCCAAGGTTGGACACCCCTCATCTAAAAGACTTAGAAGAATATGTCAAGTTGCAAACAGCTGACAGTTTACAATTAGGACCACAGGCCCAACCTTAAGTGCAACTTAAGTAGGAAGAATTGGCTACACGTCCCCAAGACAAGAATGGGTTCACAATAACAACTTCTTTGTAGGGACAAGAGGAAAACTTACAACTTTCTCCTTCTAGCTTTGTCCTTTTTACAGTCAAGGCAATCACCTTCAGCACACGCTAGGCTCAGGTTCAAATGCTTAACAGGCAAGACCACGGATCTCCTACTCTGTTCGGTCAGCCAAGCAATGGTACCTTTTAAGAGATCTGCAGACCATTCCCTTATCTTGAACAGAGGGACCAGAAGTTCCCTGTCTCAACAAGATTGCAGCTGCCCAAAAGGAATCACACACACACACACACAGAGACAAAAATCCCAAGTTGTTCAAAGTTACCCAACAACAACAACAAAAAAAAGACATTTGTGAAGATCCAAAAATATCTAAGTCAAGCCAGAAGCAAATTCTTGAGGAGTAGCTTGGCCCCTTCAAATTATTATTATTGGTTATTATTAGTTAAATTTCTTTGCCAATCTTGCCGTGGGACTACTCTAGGCAGCTCACAAGAAGAAGAAAGGAATGTAAACAGAAGCAAAACGCAACCATCAAAGGAATCACTGAAAAAGGGACACGCACAGAAGAGCACCTCCTCGATATGATAACCAAGAGGGGAGGTCAACCCTTAAAACAAAACACACCCAACCCCAAGAGCTTCTCGTAAAAGAAAAGAAGCAACTCAAGAGAGAGATTTGGGGGTGGGAGTTGCTCCCCCTCCCCTCCAACCACAAATCAAACAGCAACCTACCTACCCATCTATTTCCATAAGCTAGGAAGTTCATTCAAACCTTTGGACGAGAGGTTGGCACCCCTCCCCGCTGGCAAAACCCCAGACTACAAAACCCATGATCCTGTAAACCCCAGCCTCCTCCTTTACAATTCAAAGAGCGTGCAGGTTTGCCCGCCGGTGTGCACGATAGAGAGATAGAGAGATAGAGATAGAGATAGAGATAGAGATAGAGATAGAGATAGAGATAGAGATAGAGAGAGAGAGAGAGAGAGAGAGAGAGAGAGAGAGAGAGGGGAGAAAGGTTGGGAGGAGTACAAGCCATTTGGAGGCTGACATCATCCCATCTTGGCTTTGGTGGGGAAGGAAAAACAAGGCAGGCAAGTCCACCAGCGGGCAGCAGAACTACACCCCAGCCCCCCCCACCGCCCCCCCAAAAATAGGGAGAGGGGAAGGAAAAAAAAACCGATTTTTTTGGGGGGGGTGACAAAGGCACCCAGCTTTTTAAAAATACACCGCTTTCTGGTCTACTCAACCTCAGCAACCTAGTTAAAAGAAGAGAAGCGGAGAAAAAAAGGGCAGGTAAGGAGAAAGGCTCTCCAGGTAAAATTTGAGGATGGAGAAAGCCCAGGAGGCAACTTCAATCGAGACATCCTCGCTCCTTCGCAAATCTGGCAGTCCTGTAAGCCCCCCCCACCCACCACCCGTAACCCCAATCGACCTTCTCCATCCAACACCAAAGAAGTCGAGACCCCCCCCAATTCTCTCCCTTTGCACCCCACACACACCTCCACCCTCGTACCTTGCGGTGCCGACCCTTAAAGACCACGGCGAAAGCCCCATGCCCGATGAGGTCTTTCTTGCTGTATTCAAAATCTCCCACCACCTCCATGTTCTTCAGGGGGGCATGAAGCTTGAAAGGGGTGGGGGGGGACACACACACCACGCAGGGAGGAAGAGGAGGAGGAGGAGGACAAGGAGAAAGGGAAGGACAAGCCGGAGCTCACATCAGCAGGCTGGGGGAGGAGAGGCTAGGAGAGAGGGGGGGCTGGGCTGGCTCTGCCCGCGTCCTGGCCGCCCCCCCCAGAGAAAGGGGGCACCTGCTGGCATGACGCTGCTGCTGACCTCAGGCAGGTGGCTGGGGGGGGCATTGGCCAGCTTCCCATAGGCAATGGGTGTTTTCTGGCATTGAAAGTTGGGGGGGGGGAAGAGGAAGAAGAGGAAGAGGAAGAGGAGGAGGAGAAGCAGTAGGGTGGATGAAGCCTCTTTGGTAGAAAGGAAAGATGCCCAAAGCCCCAGAGAGGTTTAAAGAAAGGAGCCGTTCCTAATTCCAAGCGAAGATGGTAAAAATCCTAAATTCCTAGCATTGGGCGAGGGGATTAAACCCCTTTAGAAAAGCCACCCCCCCACACACAAAAAAGAGAGTGGGGTTTACAGGTGAGGAACATAAAAAGCCAATAAAGGAGCCAAGCAGGTGTCTGTCATCCAAAGACCCCTTTAAAAACAAGGGTTGCTTTTTTTTAAGGGGGGGGGTCGTCCCAGGCAGTTGTGATGATGCCTGGAAGGGGGGGGGGGGGGGAGATCAAGGAATTAAAAAAAGGGAGGGCAATGACAGCTGCCCTGAGGACGGAGAAGAGGAAAAACCCGTTAATAACAGGAAGGGAAGGAAGGATTATTATTTTTCCCCCCTTGGCTTTTGCGAAGGGAGATTGCAAGGGAGCCCCAGAGAAGAGAATCGGGATCGCTTTTAAGGGGTGGGGGGGAGGAAGGAAATTAAAACCTTCCCACCCCCCAAAAAAGAGGATGAAAAGGGGAACCGGGTAAAGGAGTTCAACCCTCGCCCATCGCTCTTTTTACATCCTGCCTCTTCCACCCCACCTCTGCCCCGGCTTTAAAGGCAGGGGGGGCAAGGCGGCCCTTCCTGGAAGAAGCCGCCGGAGATTAAACGAGGAGGAGGGGAGGGGGGAAAGGGGGTAGGCAGGTCTTTGCAAAAGGGAGGAAAAAAAAAAAAAGGAGCGTCAGGGAGGAGTCCTTCGCCTTAGGCCGCCACTGCCGCCCCTCGCGTTCTCCAAGCGCCGCGGCCTCAAAGCCTCTTGCCTCCACCGGCGTCCGGCCGCGACTGGCGAAGCTTCCGCGCGGCGCCAGCTATTTATATAGGACGTCTCGCGCAGGCGCTTTCTTCGGTCTCCCTCCGCCGGAAAAAAATACATTAAAAAAAAAAAAAAAAGAATGGGCGGGGCGAAGCGGGAGAGAGGAGGGGAAAAAAGAAGAAGAAAAAAAAAAGAGACGGCGCGCGGCCAAATTGGAGGGAGAAAACTTGGCCCCAAGGGGGGGGGGGGGGGGGGGGGGGGAACGGCTGTTATTCTTGATATTGAAAAAAAAATATTTTTTAAAAAATAAAAAATGAGCGGTTAGAAGCCAGACATAAGACACACACCCCCTCGCACCTAAATGAAAAAGATTTTAAATTAGGAACTCCGCAAACCAGTGTTGTTCTGAGACAGAGGTTGGCAGCATTTGGACTTCTCAAGGAGGAAGACCTCAATGAGGAGAGGTGGCCAACTTTTTCCTCCGACTCTGCTCCTTCATCTTTTAGGATGTAGGTCACTTGCTGCTTTTTAGAAATGGAGCTGTCCTTTCTGAAATTTTACAGTGCTGAAATAACATAATCTGTCTAGCTTCTTTTAAAATTAAACACACAGGTCCAGCCTATCCGCATCTCATGGCTTTTCTAAGGTTCAAAGGCGCAGGGAATTAGAAACTGGATTCAAAATTATTTTTATCCATACATTATTTCATTTATGTAGCCCCAGTAGCCTACTCTGCAGGGGCGTTGTGTGTAAGTACAAGTATAGGTCGTTCTCGATTTACGACTGCAATTGAGCTCGGCATTTCTGGTGCTAAGCGAGGTAGTCGTTAAGTAAATTTTGTCCCATTTTACAACTTTCCTTGCCACTGTTAAGTCAATCAATACAGTTTATAGGAAGTCCTCAAATTATGACCACAACTGAGCCCAACATTTCTGTTAAGCGAAATGATTGTTTAAGTGAGTTTTGCCCCTTTACGATCTTTCCTGCCACAGTCGTTAAGTGAATCGCTGCAGTTGTTAAGTTAGACACACGGTTGTTCACTTAATCTGGTTTCCCTGTTGACTTTGTCAGGAGGTCGCAAAAGGGGATCAAGTGACCCCAGGACACTGTGACTGTCGTAAATATGAAGCAGTCGACAAGCATCTGAATTTTGATCATGAGACCATGAGGAGGCGGCAATGGTCATAAGTGTGAAAAACAGTTGTGATTTTTTTCGGTGCCGTTCTAACTTTGAACGGTCACTAAATGAACTATTGTAAGTCGAGGACTACCTGTATTGTGTTAGTAACACGGTTGTTAAGTGAATCAGGCTTCCCCCATTGCCTTACAAGGTCACAAAAAGGGATCACCTGACCCAAGGACACTTCAGCCATAAATATGAATCGTCCCACGGTCGTGATCCCCTTTTGCGACCTTCTGACAAGCAGTCAATGGGGAAGCCAGATTCACTTAACAACCGTGTGACTAGTAATGGCAGTGATTCACTTAACAACTGTGGCAAGAAAGGTTGTAAAATGGGGCAAAACTCACTTAACAACAGAAATGTTGGGCTCCGTTGTGGTCGTAAACCAGGAGTACCTGTATTCTAATCCATATATCCTGATAAACCAAAGATGTGTTTACAAATCTCAACCCAATAAAGCTTATTTCTGAAACTTGGGAATTTTAAGATGTTTCAGGTTCAACTCCCAGAATTCCCCAATCAGCTTCTAAGGGATTGAAGTGAATTCTGAGTTGATGTCCATACATGCCCAGTTTACAGATAATCAGAGTTGGAAGGGACCTTGTAGGTCATCTAGTCCAACCTCCCGCCCAAGCGGGAGACCCTATACCATTTCTGACAAATGGCAGTCCAATCTCTTCTTGAAAGCCTCCAGGGATGAAGTTCCTGTAACTTCTGAAGGCAACTTCTGTTCCACGGGTTGACTGTTCTCCCTGTCAGAAAATTCCTCCTTATTTCCAGGTTGAATCTCTCCTTGTTCAGTTTCCATCCGTTATTCCTTGTCTGGCCTTCAGGTGCTTTGGAGAATAGCTTGTCCCCTTCCTCCTCTCTGTGGCAGCCCCTCAAGTATTGGAAGACTGCTATCCTGTCTCCCCTGGTCTTTCTCTTCCCCAGACTAACCTTGCCCATAAATACATGCAACCTTTCTTCATATGTTTAGCCTCCAGTCCCCTCATCATCCTGGTTGCTCTTCTCTGCACTTTTTCTAGAGCCTCAACATCTTTTTTATAGTGTGGTGACCAAAACTGGATGCAGGACTCTAGGTGTGGTCTTACTAAGGCTTTATAGAGTGGTATTAGTTTGAGAAACATTGAAATAAAACAGTGTGGCTGGATGCCAAATTAAAAAAGATGTAACACCTGCTTTTTATGTTTGGCTGAGTTGTATACTATAAAGGGCATAATAATGTACATATTACTCAGATCAATGCCCTAGGATCAATGATGGTGAATGCACCCTTCTGCCGTGAATTTTTTAATCCCAATGCGCACATACAAAATTCTCCCCACATCCTTACGATCAAAACATGAGCCCAGAGATCCTAATCTTAATTCTCTGCCTTGTTTTAATTTTGTGGTGCTATCACATTGCAATGGGAAACAGGTAAAAAGATACGATGACACACATTTCAGATGTTTGTCCTGCAAAACGACCTATGACTGCAATTTTGGCCAAAACATCACGAGAATCTGGATCTAGCGATGTGAAAATCTAAACAGCTAGATTTTTAAACAAATCCTCTTAAGCTCAAAACAAATGAACTTTTCTAGTGAAATGTGTGAACAATGGTATTAATTGCCATTTAGCAGCCTGAACGCTCCAACACTAGAAGTTTTTAAGAAGAAATTAGACAACCATTTGTCTGAAATGGTATAGGGTTTCCTTCCTGCGCAGGGGGTTGGACTAGAAGATCTCCAAGGTCCCTTCCGACTCGTTATTCTGTTCTGTTCTGCTTTTTAATGGTGTCCCGTTCAACTACCAATCAAATCACACCTTTCTGCCTGCTTTTTTGAGGCTATTGATCCAAAGGAGCAGATGGGTTTCTTATTTAGAGGCCTAGAACATTTATTTTGCTGTATAAAATAAATACATTATTTGATCGTAGCACTAACGATTACCGAAAGCGGCCGTTTGCTTAAATGGCTTTTTTTTTTTTAAAGGAAAAAAAATCCTAGAATCATCAAGCAAATCTATGAACGGCTATTACCGGTGTAAAATATTTATTTGCTACTTCTTCCTGGGCTCCTAACCTCCGAGGCAGCTTCAAAGATGACAGGGATAATATTAATCAGGAACAAAAGGTCCTTTTGATAAGGCTTTTGTAGGACCTTAAAAGATTTAAGCTATTTTGAGACGCCAAATTTACCCTGCCCGTGAAACTTAAAAATTAAAATTTTTGCTGCAGCTATCTTTTTCGACATCCTAATATTTCAAGGGTGAGTTACTCATAGGGCGAATGATACAGGTGAAAGACTAAAAGATATTGCATTAACCGAACCCCATTTCAATGGATGGGAGGATCAGGACAGGAGATGCTGAATGGAGCCTCCAAGTTCAGGGGCGGTCTACCAAGGAGCAAGTGAACGATAGCAAGGGACAATTAAGAGTCAATAGACAAACCAATCAGATCCCCCAAAACTTTTCTGAACGTTTTAGTTACGTATTTTTAGTGACTCCTTCAATTCTCAGCGCTTTCCCTTCTATGTCTTCTCATATCTGTCTTTGCATTGTTGAGACAGGCCAGTTTTATTGCAGTGGGCTAATTTAAAAAGCTGTGCCTTGGTAGTCCTCCAGTTACAACCATTTGCTTAGCGACCATTCAAAGTTATGATGGACCTCCCAAAACCTACAGTACTTACAGGAAGTCCTCAACCAACAACCAGAATTGAATTCAAAATGTCTTAAGTTTGTCAGAAGGTCACAAAAGTGGATCACATGACCCCCTGGGAGACTGCAGCCGTCATAAACACGAGTCAGTTGCCAAGTGGGTGAATTTTGATCACATGACCATGGGGGAATACTGCAATGGTTGTAACTGTGAAAACCAGACCATAAGCCACTTTTTTTCCCCAAATTTCTTGTAACTGCAAACGTTCACTAAATGAATGGTTGTAACTTGAGGACCGCTTCTACACAACTTTTCTCCTTATAAGGCAAGAGAAAAACCACTGGAGGGGAAAAGAACAGGGTTATTCGAAAACAACGAACAACATCACGCTTAACCTTCATGTCCTTTGACAGCAGAATTCTCTGCCCCGATTAGGAACGTTAAGCGAGAGAATTAGCTTGTATTGCCATAAGACATTTTGATTTAAAACCTGGATATAATTAAGAAATGTCATCTGCAAAAAACCAAAACATTGCAGCACATGGTGGTCCCGTCTTCTTCTAAGGACTATCACTGCCCCAGATTTCCATCGGTTTTTTTGGCCGACTCTATTCCATCTTTGCTTCTTCGTTATACCAAACGTTAGTCAAAATTGTGGTTTGCTTTGTGCGGCATCTTCAGTCCTCTCAGATTTTCTTCTGCTGGCTTTTCGGTCTTCCTGGATAATTTTTTTTTTTTTTATAGTGGTCTAAATATTCAAAGTTCAGCCAAGCCTATTGATATCATTATTTCGTTTCTTGAGAGTCTCAATTCTTTCGGTACTCACTTCAGCTATTTGAGAGACTGAGATAATTACATCCCTCTTATTGACAGGAGTCCGAAGCAAGGGAATGGTGGCTTATTCGTGACCAGCATTGTTCATAACCTAAGTTGAACCATGATCTCAAGATCTTCCTGCTTATGCTGTAGCATCCATGTTGATAGTTAACACGGATGAAAATATTCAATATAGTTTTCCAGTGGTCGATATAAAAGGAAGCTGTCTGCCAAGTATTCTGTACAATGGGCCCCATTCTCAAACTCCCAAATCTTCCCTAAAACAGGAGGAGGAGTAGCGCCAGAAAAGAATTTTTAAAAGTTCATCCAGTCCTTCCGCTATCGTCTCCATCTGTTGGAAAGAAGGAAAAAAAAAACCCAAAAGCTTGACAACATGGCCTTGAAGTCCACACATTTGAAAGCTGCCAAGGTTGAGAAACATTGAATTAAGAGTGAAATGTTTTATTCTAAAGATTTATATGGGGTCTTTAATGCTCTCTGAGCTTGGTTATTTTTAACCTCCGAGTTCTTTCATGACCTAACTAGGTTATATCATCAGTGCCAGAAGGTAGCGAGGTTTGTGGAAGGAGGAAGAGGAGGAGGAGTAGTGGGGGGGGAGAAGAAAGAGAAGGAGGGAGTGGAAGAGGAGGTGGAGAAAGAGAAAGAGAAAGGAAAAGAAGAAAGAAAAAGAGAAGGAGGAGAGGAGGAGAAAGAGAAGGAAAAGGAGGTGAAAGAGAAAGAAAGGAAGAGGAAAAAGAGAAGAGGAGAAAGAGAAAGGAAAAGGAGGTAAAAGAAAAAGAGGAGGAGAAAGAGAAGGAGAAAGAGAAGGAAAAGAAAGAGAAAGAGGAAAAGGAGGAGGAGGAGGAGGAGAAAGAGAAAGAAAGGAAAAGGAGAAAGAGAAGCGGAGAAAGAGAAAGGAAAAGGAAGAAAAAGAAAAAGAAAAAGAGGAGAAGGAGCAAAGGAGGAGAAAGAGAAGGAAAAGGAGAAGAAAGAGAAAGAGGAGGAGGAGGAGGAGGAGGAGGAGAAAAAGAAAGGAAAAGGAGAAAGAAACAGAGGAGAAGGAGGAGAGGAGGAGAAAGAGAAGGAAAAGGAGGAGAAAGAGAAAGAGGAAAAGGAGAAAGAGGAGAAGGAAGAAAGAAAGAGAAAGAGGGGGAGGAGGAAGAGGACTATGGTAACTGTAGGGTCCTTGCTGCTCTCTAAATTTGATGATTTTTTTTCTCTTTTTCCTCCTCCTCCCCTTGTCCTCTCTTTCCCCCCTCCTTTATAGCACTGATGACATTACCTAATTGGGTCGTGAAATGTCTGCAAGAAAGCCACCAAGCTCAGAGATTGCCAGGGAGCCCACAGTTCCCCTCCTCCTGGGACCTCACAGAGCCACAAATATTCTCCTTTATTGGTAAATATTTATATTTTATAAAGTATTTAAAAAATTGTTTTAGATTAAAAGTTATTTAGATTAGGCAGGAGAGACAGCAGCCACAGAAACTAATTGTGTATTAAGAGTCAGTTGGATCGGTGGCTATAGAAACGGAATAAATAAAAACAAATAAAACGTGCACAATATTACGTGTGCAACTCCACCAGGTATTAAAGTAAAGAGAAAGGACCAGGCGAAACATGATAGCAGCCTTCCAATATTTGAGGGGCTGCCACAGGGAGGAAGGGGTCAAACTATTTTCTAAAGCACCCAAAGGCCAGACAAGAAATAATGGATGGAAACTGAACAAGGAGAGATTCAACCTGGAAATTAGTAGAAACTTTCTGACAGGGAGAACAATCAACCAGAGATACAGCAGAGGGTCGGAATATCTAATACTACACAACATTTAACAGGAGCAGCGAAAATGGTAAATGCCCAAAATTTGACAAATAGAGACATCCCCTTAGAAAGAGAGACAATAAAGAAAACACTAGTTTGTGCAGAAATAGACAGACGTTAGAGCTTAAAAATAAAGGAGAGAAAGAATATCATGATGTATGGAATAAATGGTTGGAATTGAGAAGGAGAAGCCGGAACAGAAAATAATGAGGATTTATAGAATGGAAATCTGATGTTATTTGGGTAAACACAATGGACCATATTGGATAAAATGTCTGTATAAAATTAGCAACATATGAGGTTTTATGCTGTAAATATAAATGTACATATTGGATAGAATAGTAGCATAAAATTAGCAATTCATGACAAGTATAATGTTATTTGTTTTATATTTTAGTGGAAAGGCCTTCAAACTTGGCAAGTTTAAGCCTTGTGGACTTCAACTCCCAGAATTCCTGAGCTAACATGACTGGAGGAGGAATTCTGGAAGTTGAAGTCCACAAATGCTATTCTTAGATCTCAGGCAGGTTTGGTGGGAATAGTAAGTCTTTACTTCTGGTGCTGGAAAATTGTGTCATTCTGGGAACCATCAGAAAGATTGGATAATGCTGAAGAAAACCCAGACAAGATTTGTCTCAGAAGCTGCAAAAACTTCCCAAGAGAGATGACAGCAAGAGTCATCCTCAGCTTTTGGCATTCCCCAACCATTATGGCAAGGGTCTTCGAACTTGACAGCTTTTAAGACTTGTGGACTTCAACTCCCAGAATTCCTGAGCTAACATGACTGGAGGAGGAATTCTGGGAGTTGAAGTCCACAAGTCTTAAAAGCTGTCAAGTTCGAAGACCCATGTTTTAGTGTGTATGGCATAGACAACTGCCAGGACGGTAAACACTGTGTCCAATATTTTAATATATAATCAATAATATTTTGTGGGGAAAAAAAGAAGTAATGGTAACATTTGATCCTGACCATCTTAATAAAAGAAGATAGAGGAAGGGGGGTGAAAAAAAAGCTTACATCCGAAGACATTTGTCCTTTCCTCCACTTGCGACTCGTTGGCCATCAGGACTCCAGTCTACCGCAAACACCTGGAAAGGAATTTATCAAAAAAGTACATCAACAACTCCCGTGAAGAAGGTGGAATAATTTTTAAGTTGAAACATTGCCTCTCCCATCAAACAAGGGAGGAGATAGAAATATGCTTCTCGAGGATCGCATTTATGGAATTTCAAACTCGTTTGTGGAGGACTAGAAAATACGTATCAACAGCCACTAATTTGCCATGCAGAAAAGCAGCTTGTAAAAGAGTGCTTGGTACAATACTAAGCAGTCTACACAATCCTATCCTTACCTGTTGGCTCTCCAGATTGGTATTTCTCAACATTAGAAAGCAACTTTAGAAAGAGTGGACTTCAAGTCCCAGAATCCCCCAGCCACCATGTTTTAAGATGGGTGGACTTCAACTCCCAGAATCCTCCAGCCAGCTTGTTTTAAGATAGGTACATTTCCACTCCCAGAATCCCCCAGCCAGCCATGCTTTAAGAGGGGAGGACTTCCACTCCCA